CAAGCCAGGGGTCTGGTAAGATCTCTACTTTCGAGAGTCAGACTTTAAAAAAGTAAAGCATAGGGACTTAAAGTATTCAAAATATACATCATCAAGGAAGACAACAAGACATGAGAGATGACAGAATCTACACAAGGCATAGATGTTTCCACATATTCTCTAACCACAGGAAGGATCAGAAAATATATTACAAATTAAAGCAGATTCTATGATTAATGAAAAATGCCCTCCAGGAAAGGCATCTACCATCCCTAAAAAAAAAAAAAAAAAAAAAAAAAAAAAAAAAAACCACAAAAAAAACCCCAAACAAACAAAAAAAAAAAAAAAAAGAAGAAAAAATAATGTTATGTATTATCCATAAAATCCTCCACAATGACTAATCTATCATTTCAGTCAGCCAGATCCTGAAGACAAGGTTTGAATTCAAACAAGGTAACAACAAAATCCACTAGAATATAAGAACAAGGGATATATTAAATTCCTATTACATCTGGCTTCATTAGAGCTTATTCTGCTTTTAATCTGCTTTTAATCTGCTGTAATAAAGTCCTTAAGTTTGAGCAAAGATCTTAGACTTTGACATGCTCATATAGAAGTATACATTGCATGCAAATGACATGGCAAAGGCAGCACAAGTACATCAGACCTTGTTCTTACTATGAATGAATTATGTCCTCCATTCATGAAGTCCTACTCTCATTCTTTTCCAGAGCATCTGCTATGCAGGATCAACACTGGCTCTTTACAAAAGACAACATCAGGAGGAATAAACTTCCACCTCCCATTCCCTAGGCTGTGTACAGCTGCTGCTGATGCCAAGACATTGCAGCCTCACCCAGCATTTTTATCAGATATTCAGATTCACATATACATTAGAAGACAGTAGCAAAAAACCAAAAGAAATTAAAAATCCATTAATATATATAATTCAATGTAAATTGTCACACTTTTGCAAACTTTTTAGAAAATCTTATCACCTGTTTGCAAGTACAAGCATGTCATCATTCTTACTGAGGATTGCAGAGGTCATAAGGAACAAGCATTCCATATAATGCATATAACTACCAAGGAATTGCTCCCAGACTCCTGCCATTGGATTTTACCCATTTCAACACATATAAATCAACTGGCACTGTGGTTTAAATGTACATACTGCCCTTGACACCAGCAACCATTTCCCTGCTTGACAGCTATGCAACACCAACTCTTAAAGCATTTTTTTCTGCATCTTGCACTGCCATTTTTCTCCATAGTGCTTTTTGGAGCTGATTCTTAGGTGATGGTTTTACTTCTAGTTCTTTAAGTCCTCAAAGTTCATTTATTTACAGGCCCTTTACTCACAAATGCATTATGCAAGATGAAAATATCAAGGGATTACTTTGATCCAAAAAACATATATGCAGAAACACAGATATTCTCAATTTTATATGAATGGCAATCAGCACCAATGGAGACTGCTAACAAAGTCAATGCATTTGCACACCATAAATTGGTCTTTCCCCATTTTCTTCAAGTATTACTAGGTCACATCTCACTGAGTAGCAGCTTTCTTTTTCATGGTGTGACCCCTTTTGCCCAAAGAAAAGCACAAAAATACACCTGAACAGTATTTTATAGCATTAATGACCTCAACCTCCCAGCCTCAGGTAATGGCCAGTTCAGGTTTGCTCAGGGATTACCCTTCACTCCTCCAAGGCTGCTGATTTACAAAGCAAAGAGATACTTGAAAAGCACTAGCGCTATTTACCTACTAAGCATTAGCTCTTCTGAGATCAACAGTCATGGAAAATAAATCCCAGCCTATACTTGAGAAAAGCTATGTAAAGTTGCAATTTTCTGTATGAAAAACAACAGGAAAACCTACCAGGAGACAGGCTTGCCTGAGTGGACAGAAAAAGAGGCAGAAAGCAGCAGCAGAAAACAGCAGCCAAGACTTTTAATCAGCTTTTAAGACTAACAGCTGCTGCACTCTGCTAACAACTTCCCAGGAGAAGCAGGAGGAAACCCTGAGGGATGGGTGGTTTCTGGAAGTGGCTCTTGCCATGGAACCTGTCACTGAGGTCTGGGGGTCATTGGAGGAATGGCACAGAAAGTGTCACCTTTTATTGTGGGAACCATATCCTCTGCCCAGGGTGTTCAAGAAAATTACTGAAAAGAAACAGACAAAAAAAACCCCTCAGTAAAGCAAAAAACCACCACTTTAAAAGAGATGGATGGTTGGTATGGAGTGCTTTATGAAAACAGAACAAAACCAAAAAAGAGCCGTGAGCCACGCTATGAACTCTAGTGTAGAGTTTGCATTTTTAAAATTCCTCGCAATGGATCTGGAATAAATCAGCAATGGGTCAAACCGGTTCAGAAAGTGTTTGAATAACTGCCCATGGAGTGGCCAGAGGTTCTCCGTCAGCAGAGTATTTTGACTGCTGCTGTTCAATTACCATTTGAGAAAGCAGGACTGCTGGGAAAGACAACACAAGGTAAACCAACACTGGCTACAAAAGCAATCAGTGCACCAATATCCACAGTGCACAGCCCGGCCCCAGAGACCTTCCCAAAGCAGCTTCACCTCGTGCTGCTCCGAGCCAGCAGCCTCCACACAGCCAAGGTAAGGGGCTGTCAACAAATCGGGGCAGCCCAAAATATCTCATTTTATCTCCATAATAGAAACTGTAATTGACAAATCATTATTTTACATTTATAAAATATATGATGAGGAACATACCACATGCATTCTAGACTTTCTGTCTGCACTGGAAATCAGCTGGGAAATTAGGAGGTATGGTGTAGAAACATCACTACGAATATACCGTATTACTGCTTTTGCAGCTGCAGCCCCAGAATTTGTTTCACAATAATTCAGTTACCCATGTTTAAACAACCAGCCAGCAGAAGAAAGGCTGATATATTTCATATGCATTCTCTTTGAGCAGGGGGGCCTTCACGTCTGGTCGAAAAATGTCAGGCTCATATGACACCACCAGAGTCAGGAGAGATGCCTAACCATAACTAAAAGCAGAATTTGGCCAACACAATTGGAAAATACCAGCAGAGTATATACAAATGCACACACGCAATATCATATAAGAGCAGAGCATGAGACAGATTGGATTTTTTAATCACACCTTTAAAGAAAACAACATTTCATGTACAAACCTCTCACTGCACTCCTACGTGGATCCTTTATCCCACTGCAACATAAACAGACATACCAGAGTCTGGAGTAGGGAAGAAAGATTTTTCTTTTTTTTTTTTTTTTTCCCATTGAGGATTTTAAACACAATTTAAAAAGCAAAAGAACAGATCTGGCCTGCCTTCCAAACTGACTTCAATAATAGATAAACAGTTTTAAGACTACCACAGTCAGCAAGTACATACATAAGCTTTACATTAATACACTTACCTATATTTTTAGGAGAGCTTCATTTTTCCTCGTTGTTCTTGGTTTCCTCCAGCATATAGTCCACAAGAAAAAAACTAGACATTTTTCCTGATTCACCAAAACCATGCTTTTACAACGAATAACCTAATGGTTTAAATATTATTCCTCAAAACTTCTTATCCAAAGGAAAGCAGCCTTTCTGTCAGCTTCCATACCAATTCCTACAAGTTTTGTATCATCTTTCTAAGGTAATTCTGTCAAACCAATCCTTCAGGAAGGAAGGATTTTAGCCTGCATCTTGCACGCAGTGCCTGACTTGAAGCTGCAGCTGCCATTCTCTTCTTCAAGTCTCTTATCTCTGATGCACTAATTGGTAATACCTGAGGGCTGTGGTACTTTGCAAAAACAAAGTGGATCTCAGGACTGGCAAAGACATAACCAAACACAAACATTTGAAGTTATTACTAAAAAACCAAGATTCTGAAACAGCATTTTTAACAAAATGAAACAGATAAAATTTGGTGCAAATTAAAAACAACTCTCTTGTATCTGAGCCCATAATGACTATTTTGAATACACATTATTTACTGCTGGCAATAAAGAAGTTTTTTGGTAACTTTTCTGTTATTGGGAAAAGCTTGAATACAATCCAGTCAAAAAAAATGCTGACTTTCCTAAATAGGGGCTGTGTTTTTGCAATAAAGAATACTGGTCAATATACAAGTGGAGGAAAACTGAACCAGATGTCAGTAATAGGACCACAGAACGTTGCATTTGCCCAGAATCGCTATTTTAAACACATGATGTTGGTCTACTGGTTTGTGGGATAATACATTCTTGGCAGCCAGAAGGAGTTTCGATATGTTAGAAGGTTATCCTTGAGCAAAAAAAAAAAAAAAGAAAAAAAAAAAGGAGGAGGAGAAATGAGGTAAAGAAAGGCCACTAATTCATCAAGTTACCTATAGCAAAAAAAAAATCATTACTTAAGAAATCAGTTCAAAGACAAGCCAGTGGCAAAACAGAAAGCTTGGGGTTCATATTAATTTTTGTTTTCTGTTTTACCTCCTTAATATGAATACTTCATTCATCCTTCATTGCACTTTGCCTTTCTGGCTTTTTTTAAAGGATTCTTCCCTTCATTTGTACTCAGTTTCTGGAGAGTTTCCACTTTGCAGCTGCACCAGGGTGGTCACAGCCATGTGGGGAAACCATCCCCACACCCAGAGCACACCAACCCAGCACCGAGGGCTTTTCCTCTTGGAAACCTTCGCTCACCCCGGGTCCTGCTGCCCCAAACCCCTGCAGGCAGCCCTGCAAGCCATAAACACACAAGGAACAACCCAGCTCCCTGTCCACTGGCAATTTAGTAGTTGCCCATCTTTAAAATGCTGCCTAGCTCAGAGTCACAGTTTCTGAGTGGATTTTTTGGTGTGTTTTTTGGTTTTGGGGTTTTTTCCCCTTTTATCTGTAAGTCTTCTTAATATTGAAATAAAACTTCAAAATGTACTTTGTATGTTTGGCCAACAAACACATCCCTGTTTTACCATGTAATAAATTTAAAAATCAACTCTGCTCATTGTCTTAACAAACCCTTCTCTGAAAGATAATTAAAACCACTTCCCAATATACAACCAAAGTTTTATTTTTATAGTCTATCTTCAATTATGGCATAATCCTTTCTTTTTTTTTAACCAGTGAAATATACAAATCACACAAGACAGAAATATGTACATTAAATGTACAGAACAGAGGAAAGGACATAGAAGATTTACATATCTGAATGACAGGTAAAATATTTTACATTAAATAGGGTTTTAATAGCTAGGATCATGAGATTCAATTCTGCTCAGACAGAAGTCACTAAAAAGGAACATGAGGTGATTCAGCAAATGAAAAAAAAGATCATGGTTTTTGTACAATAAAAACCAAAGTGACATATTCAATGAATTAGTGCTTTATTTATTTCTCTTACTTTAAAGATATTCTTTTCAAACATCTGAAGATGAGGGGTAAATATGTCCTTGTACAATAAATTAAGAGCAATAAAGCGCCATTAAGAAGCTGATAAATGATCAAGATGAATTTAATGATACAGCTTAAAGGCTTGTGAAAGTCAAGGCTTTAGTACAACTAGGCTAAAGTGAAAAGTTTTCTTCACTTGGTACCTTCAAAACCATTTTCTTTAACTTGTAGGATGGGACTGAGTTGGAAAGTGGCATCTGAACCAAAGATGAAACCCTGTGTAGCTACACAGCATGGGGGGAACACGTATTGTTCGACAAGTAACAATTCTCTGTTCAAAAACTGAAAAGCAAGGGCCGAATGCAGCACATTTTGGAGTTGGAAGGTGTCTCCTTTCAGCAATAATCAATAATGCCCTTAATGTGAGGGTGGAATAGAAGTGATCTCCAGACTGGTATCAATTCAAGTGCAGGGTGCTGCCTCTACCAACCACCCAAGGAAGTCCTGAAATTGGGAAGAGGCTTACTTCTTTGTGATTATCCTTAAAACTTCTGAATGCTACAAGTTCTTTAAAAAATAATAATTAAAAATAAAAACCCACCAAAAGCTTAGAATCAATCTAAACACCTGAAGAGATCTGAAAAAGAAAATAAGGGATGAACTGCCCCTTTAATTTAGATGTTTTATTTTTTTCTAAATCATTAAAATATATATGTACAAAAAGCTTTGAAGTAGCAGACACCAGAGACCACAGCTCTCCCATATATAAGTAACTGCTCGAGTATAGTCTGAACAGTTGTATAGTGTATATCTGCAGTATATAATCTAAAGTATGTGTATTAAAGACATAGGATGATAAATTTGGTATTGCTGCAACGTTTCATTGAACTATAATAGTCAGTTAATGTTATTAAAATATGAAACTACTGTCTCCTTGAGTGAAAGCGTTCCCAAAATCTGCGAAAAAAATAAAAATCAGTCATTCCAAGAGCGGATATCTAATGATTTATTTTCTCACATAAAATTAGAGGAGTTATTTGTCAAGCTGTGTTTTGAAAGACAGCCAGCTCTTACACCATTTTAAGGCATTTTCAAATGTGGGGAACTCTCCCTTCCATGGGCTTTGCAGGCTGGGAAAGCAAAGCTGTGTGTGAGCATTGCCCAGCCCCAGTGCTGCGGGCAGCCGGCCCGGGGACGCGCTGCTGCGGCACACGAGACACCCGAACGTCACAATGGGCTGATGAGGCCAAGCTCTGCCTTGAAGAATATCTTTATTATTCACCAAGGCAGATTTTTTTTTTTTTCTGGGTTTTTTTTTCCTGTCTTGCTCAGTTCTGGAACCAGCCCCGGTGACTCGGGGATAGCGCAGTTGAAGCCTTTCTGATCCTTTGCTCTTTGCCCTTGTGATGAACATACCCCTTATTTACAGAGCCCTACATGCACTGAACAGCTTTATACACCCTACTCTAGGAACTCCTAGTGTCTGAACCTAAAAGTCATGGACAGCTCTGTGTGTTCTTCACATCCATAAGGATGGCTCTAACACCCCAAGCACATTACATGGTTGCTCTGTCTACTGCACGTGTATTACGTTCCATGGATCTAAATTAGGATATGTCGGCTTTTCCCCTCAAACTACTCTACTGTTCGTAAGAAAAGTCATTTTTTTTTTTTTAACTTTGTAAAATAAATATTCTCAGATTCTCCCCCATTATTGCCAAAAATATAAGCCTCACACAGTTCTGGGATGGACGCAGAGAGGGTTTCCAGGCACTTCTCTTTGCAACCTTTATATTTTCCTTTTTTCTTTCTTTTTTTCTTTTCCTTCCCCGCCCTTTTTTTTATTTTCTTTTTTTTTTTTAATTTTTAATTTTCTTAAAAGAAGACGAAAACTCCTTGGACTCTATAAATAAAGTGGAGATAGTCCTGCTGAAAGGGAGAGGGGCCTGCACCCCTTTGCTGGCAGGCGGCTGCAGCTCCTCCCACCTCGTCCGTGCCCTATTTGCACACAAACTGGTCCACGATCTCTGTGCACAACTTGCATTTCACGTAGCAGCACCAGTGGAACTTGCAGTGGCAGCGCTCTCGCTGCACCGTCTTGAACTGGTCGTAACCCCGGCCGCAGCACATGAGTTCACAGCCGTCCATGCCCTCCGAGGTCTTATTGCACAGGCGGCCCTGGGTGCCCAGGGAGCCCGTGCTCTCGTTGCGCACGCAGTAGTCGGGGCTGGGGTCGATGTACACCAGGTCGTGGATGGTGGGCGCGTTGAAGCGGCTGTTCACCTGCACCAGCTTGCCCCGGCTGTTGAGCTTCATGGCGGCGGCGCTGTCGTATTTCTCCTTCAGGGCGTCGCCCACCTTGCGGAAGTCGGCGAGCTGCAGCCAGCAGGTCTTGAGGCTGCACGAGCCGGAGACGCCGTGGCACTTACAGGCCACGTCAGCCAGGTTGTACACCGTCTGCAGAGTCAGGGAGAGAAGCAGGAACCATGATCAAAGCCCAGCACAGCTGTGGAGTGTTTATACCCCTCATCTCCTGCCCTCCGTCGCATTCCCACCAGCCCCTCCACAGTATTTCGCTTTGCATCCCCTCCCCTCCTCCTATTCAGTGAGAATGACGAGTCAGCTGACACACCCATGCACCCCCAGCACCCCAAAGAGCCAGGAGGATGAGGAGGAGGAGGAGGAGGAGGAGGAGGAGGAGAGTCTCACCAGCCTCTCCTGACAGCAGAGACAGCCACAACAGCACACCCAGCCCAGACAGCAGCATCACTCAGGCTGCACTCAAATTTTAGGAATTTGCTCTCACGCCAGCAAAGGATTTTGCTGTTTCATTGAGAAATGTAAAACATCTCCTTATTTTCTATCTGAGTTACTGTCCCTATTGATCTCTGCTTGAGGCTGCAATTAGGGAAAGAGTTAAGATTCCTCTTGCTCCTGGCTCAGTTGCAGCTGATTGTCTACTCTTGGCTCGGCATCCTCCTCCTATCCCAAATACTGCTCTGGAAGAGAGACTTCATCCAAGAAGAAACCCCCAAACACCTATGGGTGGGAGTCAGAGCTGCATAGCAATATCCTCTTTACAAAGCTTTGGCAGGGAAACCTCAGTCATTTGCCCTGTACAAATAAAATAAGAGTCAGTGTTGACACCGCCCCAAAAATCCTGGGGTCTGACACATTAGATGATACTGTAGACAGCTTCCACCCAGCAGTTACAGAGTCTTAACACTGCCAAATGGCACTGCACAGATGAGGCTGAGGAAGGAAAAAACTCCTCAAGTCTCCGTAAGCAACTGTGAAAGTGTCATTTTTCTTCTTCCTAATAGTAATTGGCCTGTCCATTGCTCTCAGACACTCTCCTCTTACATTTAAATACTATTAATTTTCAATTATCTTTCATCCTTCTTCACCTTAGAGCGCAAGTGCAAAGTCTCAGCTGACTATTGTTGGCACTTCAAGCTCTAGGAAAATAATGATTTTGGCTCTTCATATTCAGACTATTAAAAAAAAGTTTACACCCATTCATTTAAAGCATTTTTGAGATTAAAGAAACCATGAAGACATGTTCAACCACAGAAGGCCATGTTTTCTAATAGCAAAGAGAAGCTTTTCCCATACTCTTAAACCAGGAAAAGAAAAAAAGTCAGAACAATCTTGTGGCACAATTCCAGCCTGGGAAGCCCAGCACACCCCTCTTCCTTCCAACACACACTGTCCTGGTTGGAAATACCAACTAATAAAATTCTGTTCTACAGAGAACCCACAGCGAGCAGGGCATTTCTCATGAAACAATACAGAGGGAAACACAACACGCTTTGGTCCCAGCCTCCCCGTGAGGAAAGCAACAGGACTGTCAGACAACCAAAAGCAACACCAACCCATGCACTCCCCACCCACACCCCGTGTTTGCCGTTTTCTCATTTTGCGCGTCAAACCAAAGACAAGCCATGGTGGCTGCTCTGTGCCCTGCTGGACCACGTTTTCCCCAAAAAGAAGGGACAGGAGGAGCGTGGGGGGACACGCTGCGGCGCAGACACTCACTCTTCTGCCGGCCTCGTTGTTGTGCAGGTTCATCATGATGCGCGCGCTCTCATAGGAGCCTCGCTGGTAAACGCGCTCGCGCTCGCGCGCGTCCACAAACTCCTTGGCGAAGCGGTAGCCGTACTCGATGTTGTCGCCGCAGCCGCCCCACAGCCAGTCCCGGGGCAGGTCCTTGGGCCGCGCGGCGCGGCTGCAGCCGCACGAGGACAGCTCGCCCTCCCGGCACGCGCGGCTCATGGCGTTGACCACGCCGGCCGCGCTTACCGCGTAGGTGAACGCCGTCTCCCGGCTGCCTGCACGGAGACACAAGCGGGGTTAGGGCACAGCCACCACTCCCTCCCCTGTGAGTATCCCCTGGTGGGCCGGCAGGACCAAGGCTCTCCAGAGCCACCAAGTTCACGCACACGGTAAAAAGCAGAGAAACCTGAACCACGCTGCCCAAAACATCCTCACTCTGAAAGAGCCAAGCCAAGCCAAGCCAAGCCATGTGAGCACACACAGTTTGTCAAGAGCAGAAATCACTTCTCTTTCATGCTGGTGAGCACCTGGATGAAAGTGCAGAGTGGAGGTGGGTCAGGGCCATGAGGCCAGCGGGAACAAAGCAGCCATGCCTGCGAGTGAGGGGAGGGAAGGGTAACAGGCTCCCTGTCCTTCAGAAGAAAGAGATGTTAAATACAACTTTTAAAAGTCTGGTTCTTAAATTACTACTTTTCAAACGTGATTGATGCACTTCACCCACTTATTCCAATTTATTTAAAGTTCAAGCAATTTATGAAGTGTCCCAGTATCAAAAGAAACGCACAGCAGAATAACGCACAACTTTTCACCCTACACATTAGCCAGACACTTCTGGAGGAGACTATTTAAAACTAACAACAACCTGTGCTGGTTATTATCCACCACTTCAGCTCTTGTGAATATGGCAAGGGAGCCCATGGACAATCATTTTACAAATTACAGGGAAGAAAAAACCCTTGGCACAAGGTGGCCTTGAAGGTTTTCTCCTGCATCTGGTGCCCTTAAATGGAAATGGAAAACCTCAAGTTTCCAGCTTTCGTTAAGAAAAAGTTACAATACCCATAATGTAAGACATGGCCACATACCATCCTATTGACAGTATCAGATCCCACCTCATTAAGTGTCTGACTTCCCCAATCACTTTTCCAAGGGTGCCACAAGTTCTGAGTACAACTAGCAGACCTTGCAGATAGACAAACACAAAACTTGCACCAGAGAGCAACACTTGAAGTTTGTTTTTCTCCTTAAGAGACAGCATCCCAATGGGTCGTTTCCAAGAAAGATTCTTGGAATGACTAAGAATAGACTAAATATTTTTTTTTTCTGTTTATATGATTTAAGTTTTATTCCTAATCTTTAGTCTAATCAATAGATCAAGCTAGTTTTTAGTCTTGGTTTTACGTGATTTTACTTAGGGAACATCATGACCTTTAAAAACTAGGATGTTAAGAGGCTGTGTTTTGGGCAAATCATATATATTTACACAGCAACATTTTAGGCAGAATCTCTTTGTACAAGATGTATCATGACAGGTCAAATCTAATAGGAGCTTTCAAGCACTTCTGAAACATAAATAATTTGAAGTCTGGTTCATATTTAACATCAAGATGACACCATGATCAGAGCAGCTTTGTTAATACAACAGCTGTCATCCACTGGATTGATTTTAGTACTAGATGCTGGGTTTAAATGGGAAAAATCAGAAATATTATGTTAGGAAAGATGAGACTTAAGAAAGATCAGAAGCACTTTGCTACCTTACAATCAATGGTCTATACTCACAGACACCTGCTCTTGGAAATATCTACAAGAATTGTGGGTATAAAGGGTTACAGGAGTAGCATTTTCAGTTAAAAAAACATTGGCTTTATGTGGTGACTTAAGCCTTGCATCTACTGCAAACTATAGCAGGGGGAACCTCATACAGATTTTAATGTTCCCCTTTGCTCTGTAACACACATTTTTGGATTAATTCCTTAAGCAAAATTTCCACTATATTGAGAGGAAAGAAACGTGGTCTGCTTTGGACCACAGGACTCGCCTCTTCCATTCCATTTTTGTTCTTTTGCATGTTTAGTTAACTCATGCTTTCTCATGGTTAACTCTGCCCCTTATTGTGGGATTTAAACTCATAAAGCTGACTATTTTTGACTCGTTTTCATTATTAACCTGGAACAAATTTTAAAGAACTTACTCTCAGTGGGAAGGAGAAGGAAAGGCTTGGGTACAGGAAGGAGAGTTGCCCTGCAAGTTCCCTCCTTGAGCATTTAGGCAAATTATAAAATAGCATCAGCTGCTGAAGTGTACTTCAAGCCAACACTGCCTCAAGCCATCGACCCCAGGAACACTTTAAGAGTGATGGCTCCACACGGATGAGTTACTCTGAGTTTTCTTTTTTTCCCTTCTTTTTTCAGTCTTTAGGCACAACTGTGCTTTCCTTCACTGTCAAACATATCTGTCTTTTCCCACAGTCCAGGATTTCTCTCTATTGTAGCCATGGCAAGCAAACACACATTCCAAACACGTTCGAGTCCCCTCTCTCCCATATATATAAAACATAGAAATGGAACTGTTCAATATACACACACTGTAGGAAGCCACCCACAGAGCAGGGCGCTGAGCTTTACACTCCATCTGAATAAGTCTGCAAGAACAGAACCTTTTTTTTTTTTAATACCTGAACATAAGATACAAAATGTTCTTTGTCTTGCATTTTAAAAGCATTCAACATCAGGCTGAAGGCAGAATAAGCTGGACCCCAACCACACGGAGCTGTAGGGGGAGGATGCCGTGATTTTGTTTCCTGTTAGCACTTAGCAAAGCCCATGTGCAGCCTGCACAGGGCTGGGCACAAAGCCGGGAGATGGCAGCGAGCACCGTGGCCTGACCTGGGAACCAGCACCCGAGGAGAGCAGAGCAGAACACGGGCCCTAAAACTTTACAGTTCAATAAGCCACAGAGCAAGTTTCCAAACCCAAGGGCAGGTTTATTTGTACAGCTTTAGCTAACTGCAGGGTAAATCCTGGAAGAAAGACTGTCCATTGACACACGGGGCCGTGGCTGTGCCGTGCCCGGGAACTCTCTGGGGCGCAACCAAGGGCACGAGGCAAAACCTCCCACACAATGGGCACTCAGAGCCTGCACCCTGCACTGCTGGCAGCAAGGGCATCTGACAGCCCCTCACACAGCCCGTGGCAGGCTGAAACCAATGGGATCAGGCTCTGAAAGTGCCCACTCTTCCCTCCACACAGAGGAACACCAACTGGTCATTACTGAGGGTCAGCACGAAATACTACAGCTGCTACACCTCCTTCTTGCTCTCACTGAACACACTCTTCATGCTCTCACTCCTGAATATGGCTATTAACCCTGCTTCCATCTGCAATTAGAATAAGTGGCTTAATTACATGATGAATTGCTGTGTAGACATCAGCTAATACAGTCATATCCAGCAAAAGGGTGCGGCAAAGTTATTTAACTTGAAAGGAGCCACCTTTAAATAGATCTGTCATACTTGGGGAGGGCAGAAATATCGATTCCAGAGACAGACACCACAAATCACAGGCCCCATCCTGTGCACTCCTTCACACCAACAGTCCCCCTGAGCTAATTTTCACTTGCTTGGATAATAAATAAGGGCTGAAGGATGAAGGCCTAAATTTTAAACAGATTAATTTTCTGACATTTTTTAGACTAGAACAGAGAGGTGTACAGAAGAAGCTTGCTTTCATGTTTTTAGACTTTTGCTTGGGTAAGGTAAAAAAACCCCAAACTCTATGGAGGGTTAACACTGTGCTTTATAAAGCCTAGGGAAGGTTGTTTATCTAAAATCAAATGTTCCAATTCGGTACTTCCATGCAATAGATTTTTTCTATTTGTCTGACAATCTCCAAATAAAAACGTCTTTTAACAAAAACTGAGACCAAATGTGAATTGATGCATTCCTTCAACTTTAACTGGAGTCAGCCCATTTACAGACAAACCTAGACTGAAACCAATTTTTAAACTTTTTCTTTTTCTAAAGCAGGACAGAAAAACACTGCCATAAAAGCTTTGCTTTACAACCCCAACTGAAAAGCAGTGCTGCATTTGCCAGTGTACTGCTCACTACTTAAAGCATCACGAGTGTCACCCAGAAAAGTAGGCGTTTTTCAGCTGATTACACAAAATCAGCAATCTGCCTTGAGAAAGCCAGAGGAAGGTTTCACCATGGACCCCTTCAACAGCACTGGTTACAATTTTGCCAAGGACTTTAAAATACTATGAGGTCCTCAAATGCTTATGAAGTCAGGCAGCACATGAGCACTGGAGAAGGCCATTTCAGAGAGGATCTGACAGGGGAAAGGTTGGGCATCCACCAAATTGTGGTAAGATTTAAACAAGAATCTGTCCTTCACCATGGACATGATTCCATCAAATGTCAGTTACAAGGAGAATCACACATTTTACCATGATAGAACTCATCTCATGAAAATTACCCTGCTTCAGTAATTTAAAAATAAATGTTTTCCTAAAAAAGAGAGAAAAAAACCACTGTATCTGGAAATAAGCAAGGAGGAATTGCCTATAAACACTAATCGACAGAGCAGCAATTTTCAGTTAACCTCTAGACCAAGAGCGATTTATTATCCAGCTGCTAACTTTGGAACTAGACATGGACATCTTTAATTTTACAAGACGCTGCTGGTTTTAATTCTTGTAGGTTGCCTTCGTTTTGTCTCAGGTTCTCTAAAAAAGAGATTTCAGGGCCTCATTTTCCTCTCTCCCCTATTCCCATATGCAAATATATATTCCTACTTTGTTTTCCAAGACATATGGCTGGACAGTGGTGGGAAATCACCTCCAGCTAAAAATAATCCAGCTCCTTTGCCAACTTTTAGAAACACTTGATTGTATACAGTACTCAGTAAGAACCTGGCAAGAGATTCAAGTGCAGAACAGTGTGTGCCATACATATCCTCAGACAAGAGTTTAATCATAAAGACGTTGCTTCCTACCTATCTGCATGACTCTGCCAAAAACAGAGTTGTTGTCCACAGTGCTGCAGTTCCATCTTCTGTGTCTGAATTGATACTGGCACTCCTTAATGCCCGTCTTTGCACCCTCTCCAATGAACTGCATATGGTCCTGATACAACTGGCAGAGCTTCTTCTGTCCTTGGGAAAGCCCTGCTAGCTGGCTGCACAGGGGCTGGGCTCCTATAATGTACACCTCTGACATCTGAACAGGGTTCATGGGGTTCATGGGGTTCATCCCTAAAGACCTGCACAAAGAAAGAGTTGCATTAATAAACAGAAGACTTCAAAATAAAATAAAGCAATTTTTTAAAAATCTATAAATCCCAGACACATATCTTTTACATGAGTATACAACTCCTGTTTTTGTTAACAAGTGAGGAAAACCCCAGACACCTAAATAAGTTTTGTTTTAAGAACAGAACAGAAGTTTCCACCCATGTGGTTATCACCATACATTAGAGACTGAAGTACGACACAGACTTGGAAGACCTGCATCCAGGCAGTCTTTTACCAGCTTAAATTGACACAGTAAAAAAACCAGAAGCCCCAAACAACTGCAAGGCCAGAAAAATAAATAAAGCAAAAATGAAAAAAGCTCTCCAAATCCCAATTTATCTTAACACATATTTTATACTTAAGTGTGGGTTTTTCAGTCTGATCTCTTAAAAACAAATAGGGAAACCTTCAGCAAGCCAGAAGTAGAAACTTGCTACAGACTAGTCTAGCTTCTTCCAAATGACAACACAGAAACATACGGTCAAGTATATTCATTCTAAACAAAATCAACTTTGCTTTCTTAATTCTTAAAGTGCTCTTCACATGATACATTTCAATTAAAAAGTAGCTATTAATCCAAAAGGCATCACTGGAAAAAGCAGAGGAACACCTATTTCAAGAACTCTCAACATTGTACACTATACAGATAATTTGCCAAAGCAGGAATTTAAACATACTCCTTTGTAACAAAATATATTTGTAAACATTTCAGTTACAGAAAACTTCAAACTGAAACTTTAACTTTTTCCTTGCAAATCAGCATTTTCTCTTGTACATGCAAACCATCTAACGTAAGGGAGTTGAAACATCTCTTTTCAAAGAAAAACAATTATAGTGATTTAAAGATGATAAAATTAATAGAGAATCCACCAGAAAACATTCTAAAAACTATATTTTACGAGACGAGATGTCGCACATTTACCCTCACTCGACAGACCCGTTCTACTCAACATATTCCAACCAGACCTTCTCCCCTGCTGCCTCGCTCCGGCCGCACTCCCGCAGAAACAAAGTACAGAAGAAGCACAGAGACATTGAAGCAAGCAAATCTTGACACCCCCTTCCAAAAGCAAGTCGATACGAGATGCTTACCACCAAGAGCTGGCTTCTATTACAACCTGGGTAAAAGAGGAGAAAACGGCCAGAGCCACTACGAGGTACTGAGAAGCCATTGTACTGCCAACTGTCCCCACAGCACCTCCGTGGATTAATACTGCACTGGATTTCTGGAGGGGGGAGAAAAAGGATCAGATTGTTTATTGCTTCTCAGACCATTTTCGAGCATTCAAGTTTAAACAACGGAAGTCTCCGGGCCCCTTTTAACTTGACTCTGCCTCGCCGGCCCTTCTCCGCGCCGAGGCT